GATATGGTCCCTTCTCCCCAGGTTTCGCCGCTGGAGTTCGCATGCACGAGGAGCTTCATGTTTCGCAAGGAAGAGGGTGAGGGAGCTCCTCTGCTGCGAAAGCCTTCGCGACAGTCCGTTGAGCTTGTGTCGCCAGAAACTGACGCGCTTCGCCATTGAACAGCGCCCGCGAGTTTCTTATTTTCAGGGGTAACTGGGAAACCGTTAGTAGTCGAGGTTAGATCACACACCCCGTAGTCCCCACCATGGGGCTTCGCGCTCCTGTGAGAGACACGCACCGCTCCTCTCGCTGCTTCACCGTGCATCATGTAAGGAGATGGGAAACCCTGTTTTGAGTGGCTCCTGCTGTGATCCTTGGAATTGTGCGAGGTGTTGCTGCTGCTGGGACTCGATTTATCGTTAAGGCGATGCTCTCCGCGAGGCGAAGCGACGCCACCTGGCGGCTGCTGCGAAGTTCGCGGACCTCGCACGCATTCGAAATCCCTAGTCTGGACGAGCACGCGCTGAGCATATCTCCGAGGCGCCGCTGGCGACGCGGGCAGCGGAGCAGGAGGACTGGAAGCAGCAGCACCACCGCTAGCGCCACTAGCAGTAGCCGTTGCCCCCAATTCGGTATTGGTGCTCCGAGTACTTTTAGCAGTAGGAGTATCAGTGCAGGCGAAATCAATCTCGGGCAAATCGAGGTTCGACGACGAGCGAAAAGGTCGTGCATTCAGACGCCTTCGCGCCGAAATGACGGCGTGGGAGTGATTCGCAACGCCACGCGACGGCCGGCTCGGAGGACTGACTGCGCCGCTGCGTGCGGTGCCGGTTCTCTCGGCGTTTAGGGCGTTATTGTCCATTTCAGGCACTGATTCGCTGCGAAAGATCGCCGTGACTTGCGGGCCACTTCGGGGCGACTCGATGCGCATCCGCGGCGCGGCGGCGGAGGTACTTTGAGAAGCAGGATAAACATTACTACGAATCTGACGGCAACCGTCGCCGCGGCCCACGGTGTAACGAGCCGTCATCATGCTGTCAAGCCGCGCCGGAACGGACGGCGGTCTGACGAGCTGACGCGGTCGCTGCGACTGCCATTGCCCCTTCCAGAGCCCTGCCGGCGACTTCGGCGGTAGTAGAGTGCTTGGAATACCACCGAAGGGCGTAGTACACGCAGCAGCAGGAGCTGCCGCCGCCGTCGCGCCGGGAGAGGTATCAAGAGCAGCAGGTGGACTATCTGGCGATGAGAGCATCGGCTGTTCTCTACCGCTACCACTGGGCAGCAGCATCTCACTGCTACTGGAAGCGGGGATGAGCTCCAGAACAGCATGGCCGCCGCGCGCCTCGATCTCTTGTTGGAGGCGATCGAGCTGGAGAAGCAGCTGCGGGTGGTGGCGCGGATTGAGCGTCAGTTTGCTCGGCTCAGCCGCCTGTCTCGGAGGCATTGCGTTGGGGTACGCCGCGGCGGTAGTACTACTAGAGGCGACGGAGTTGACGGAGAAACTGCCGGGATAGAAGGCGGTTCTGATGGGTGGAGAGGCTCTGAGCTTGTGATCGTCCGCCATGATCGTGACGGGAACAGCTGAAAGCATTTTCGTTTGATAGTCTGCGTGTCTGGTGCTATTGAGAAGAACCGATGATAAATATAGAATCGCGTCGAAGCAAACGCGGAGCTGGCTGTGAGTGAAAGTAACCGTCCGATAGCAAACGAATGTTTTCGTAACCAGGCGGCGGAGCTTGAATTAAGATACCACACGTCATGATGACAGGTGGTGAACCTGCCAATAGAAAATGCTTGAATACCCATTGTCTTTTCTAGTCGTGTGCTGAGTGGTGTCGTGGTTCGGCTAAATGACGTATCTATGGGAGATATTGACGTCAAGTAATGTGATACATCTGTGTGAAGAAGAAGATGGCTGCAAGCAAAGGAGAGTTACAGCTGCAGCAGGGAAGAGGCAGAAATCAACTAGGACTAATCAGGGGGCCTGAGCTGGAGTTCTCGACTCGACATCCGTGAAACTCCGTTTTCCTACAGTACTCATAGGATTTCATACAGAGCTTCTGATTCGTCGAAAATACCTCTCAGGATTTTCCTCCAATTCCCAAAAAAGGCCGAAGTTGGAAATCAAGTAGCCTTGAAATGTTTGGAAATCTGGGGAGCAGTGCTCATGGATCAGGAAAACAAACCATTTTAGAAGTTACTTCTACGTCCTGATTTTGAACAGGGAGTTTCACCATCACCCCGACACAACCCGTGGGACTTGGAAGTCTACGTTTAGATAAAGGGTGAAAGGAGTGCTGTCAGATGTGACGAACTTAGTTAGAATGGCTCTAGAATGGTGAGGTGCTTTCGCCAGCCTTTGTCAGAGGCATAATGGGACTCTAACATGCATAACTTCGGTGCCCCCATCTGCGGGTGGCGCCAGCTGTTCCATCTGCGGGTGGCGCCGGCTGTAAATTACAGCTGGTTCTGTCCCTAGCGATTTCTGTTCATTCAGTCCCATGTCCAAGGTTACACCAACCAAACCCGAAGATACGAGGGTCGTGAGAGTGCAAATAAAGCGCCTGAACCTGGCAACAGGTATAGAGGCATGCCCACATATCCCGCTTAAACGAAATACATTTGGGTAGGGTTTTCCCTAATCCATACGGTGGCAGCAAAAGGGTGAGCACGCCTTGTTTTCTTGCCGTGTTTTCTTATTTCTCTGCACAATTTGCGCCAAACCAAACCCGAAATCCAAAGCGACTGTCGTCCAAGACGAGAAAGAAGTACAGTTGAAGGACAAGAAGGGGAGGGGGTGCTTGTTGGTTGCATGGGTGGGGTGGGTCCAAGTACAGTAAAGACAGAAGCCATGGGTCGATTATGCCTGCCATGATTCACAAATGACACGTCGTGCTCGTCCGAGAGAAACCGTCAGCTCGTTGGGATTCTTAACAGATGTGATTGTCCACTCTGCGATGTGACCCTTTCGTCAAAATTTCCCAATGTGTGGACTGACAAGGATGAAGACCTTGGCCATTGTTAAAATATTATTAAGGTTCAAGTACGTTTGAGATCGGTGAGGCTGTTATGAGAGGTTTGCATCCAACAAACCACAGGTGTGAACTTTTCTCTCTCGCATTCTGTGGTGGTGCTCGCAAACGTTTCGATCTCCGGACACCATGAGAGGTCTTATGGCTAAAACGTGAACCTGGTGTACCTCATTCTCTGATTGCGTGACATACACCCTCTTTCTCAACCTTTTCACCTTGCGCGACTCGTCGCTACAGTACTTGGCTCATGCGATCTGGTGCCAATAAAAGTTCCTAGGCAACCTGGGGGGAAAGCCGGACCACGTGAATAACTTTCCCAAACAGATGAAAACGTTGACAACGCTTTTTGTGAAGTGCATAACCTTACCTAACCGCATTCTTCGCATTGTGCTTGTACAGTAGGTGACAAGACCATTCTGAACGTGGTGACGTTCTACAAACCATGTACGTTCTCCAACCAGGTGCTCTACTAGCGCGAAAGAGAGTGTATCGGGAACAGCTGCATCGTCTGCGTCGTCTGTACACAACTGACACTGACAGGGTGTCGAGGTCAACGGAGACTTGTTTGTGACCACTACGGACATGCCCGAGGAGTGAATCTAATCCACCGCAGGCAGCGGAGGCACCAGGTCACAGAGAGTGAGTGATCTTCGATGAAAATTAAAAGAAGCAAAAATATAATCTCGGCCTGCTAGCTACAGATTCATTTGAAGTGACTTGGAGGAGGTGAGTCACAACTCGGATTCTGCAGCGTTCCTGGTCCTTTTGACTGACAGCACAAGCTGTTACTAGGTAGGCCATAGCACCTAAATGAGTGAATTGGATACAAAAGTAAGGCCCTACAGCAAGATAGAAGCAGAAACAGACGATGATTACCGGTAGCTGAGTTTGCCAGCCAGCGAATCCCCTAGGCCTACAGCTGAGGCAGACACGATGAGCGCACCGCGAATGATTAGTAAGCTACTAGAACCTCATTATAAGTCCCCCCCTCGGTCCATGTTCATGTGCAGTACTGCTGACTCACTGCACCCCTGCACCTGTCATATTCAGCATCAACTCCTTCAGACCAGGAGACACTATATTAGACACCACTAGCCTTCTTCCTTATCCCCCTCACCCAAACCCTCCCACCACTCCACCCTCGCAATGCACCCTCTTCCCATCACCCCTCCCTTCCCTCCCATCCCCCCATCCCCAGCCCCCCTCCTCCCCCCGCCCCCCCACCCCTCCCATCTCCTTCCTATGCATAACCCTATTAACCACAGCTGTTAGTAAAAGCTCCCCAACCTACTGTGATTATTCGGGTTAATCGGAAACATGCCTATGCTCGCACAGACACGGTCACATTCCTGTGCCACTGACATGCCCTGACTGTTTTTGACATGCCTCAGAAGCAGGCCCAGAGCAGACTGTGCTGCATCAGCTCTGCACCAGCCGAACCATACCTCAACGGGTCGGTTCGGGTTTTCCCCTTGTTGAGCTGTGCCTTGCCTCCCGAATTTTCCTCTCACCCTTCCTCTCATCCTTCCTCTCACCCTTCCATTAGCTCGTCCATTAACCCTCCCATTCACCCATTCATGCACCCCTCCAATGAGCAGCTTTCACACAGCTTCCAATTCCTCCTGCCTACCAAAAAAGAGCGAGCGAGCAGCTTGCGCACTGCTTCCCATCCTTTCCCCCCATGTGCCTCAGGACTCCCAAGCTGGGCTCTACGGCTACGAGTCAGCTCGCACAAATGCTAACCTCCATTACATATCCGAATATCCCCTTAATCCTTCCTCGGTGCAAGCCCCCGATATGCTCGCCCCCTAGCAGCTTGCATCCTGGCCGCACAGAATGAGCGACAGCTTCGTCTACCCCTTGGCCTGGCCCGCTCCGGAATTTCAACCCTCTGTCCCCCTCCCCTCCTCCCTTCAAACCCCCCTCCTTCCCCTTTCAGCCAACTGCCGGCACAACGGGCAATTTTGTTAAACTCAAATTTCCCCCACTCAGCTCGCATGCTGATCGCCCTGAATGTTAAACGTCTTCTTTAGCCCCCTCGCAAGCCGCCCCAGCCCGGCCAATCCCGATGCCCGACCCACACTCCCTCCGCTGCTCGCCCTCCCATGATCACCATGCAGGTCGGACGGTGACCGGGTATACTCTGGCCGTTTCTTCTCAAACACTGAGGTCGTCGGCCCCTTGGGTTTCCTCGCCCCCATGCTGCCCGCCTGTGACCCGTACACCGCTGACGCGGCGCGCGGCGATTGGTCGATCCCAGATTTCCGCCCGTCCTTGCTCTTCTTGTCGTCGTCGTCGCCGCTGCTGCTGCTTTCTTCGCCAGTCTTGCTGGGCGCTACTCTAACGCCCACTGCAGCTAGTTGGGACGCGATTTCATCCTCCCAAGATAACCCCGAGGGCGCGCGGGCCTGAATATGCCCCTTGATCTTCTCCCTCCCCTTCCTCTCGCCCCCTTCTTTCGCAGCTTCACCTTCTTTTTGCGGCTCCGCACCCTCTTGTGACCCTGCTTCCGGCCCTTCCCCCCCTTTTGCACCTCCTATGTCGTGTTTCCGGCTCTTGAGGTCTACCGCTGACCCGCTGCCGCCCCGTGCGATCATCACACTATGCGTACCGTCCTTCTTCCGACTTACTATCCCTGTCATCGCCCCAGACTTTCTCGTGCTGCTGCTGCTTGTGGTACTACTCTCTCTCGCGCTCCCATCTCTCGCACTCTCCTTCGCACTGCTGCTCTTGCTACTCCGCCCCTCACCCTTCCCCCCTCGAGACCCCGGCCGCTCCCCCCGCTCCCCCTTCCCCCCGTCCCCCTTGCCCCCCTCCCCTTTACTCCCCACAACCGCGATCCCCACAACCCCCCCGGCGGCCGCGCATCGTTTCAGCTCCCCAAACCCGACCTCCCAGTTGTTACTACTCTCAGCGGAAACCCTCGTTAGCTGCACAGACCACGTGCTACGGCTCCTCATAGCCGCATACTCTGACGTTATCCCTATAGACGCATCGAACATGAGGTTCAACCCTGCTTGTAGCACACTCCCTGGCCCCTCCGGCGCCCCCATTTGGGAAAAATCCATGGACAGTGACGGACTCATGCGGCCTTGTAAGCCCGAGAGCCATAGGGATCCGTCGGAAATCCCCCCGCCGCCCCACCCGAACCTCGGGCTTGGCGGGTCGTTCAGGCCTGGGTCGGATGACGACGAAAGCCGCCGCCCCTTGGCGGCTTTTGCTGACGCTGCGGCGACTGCTAACGCGGACGCCCCACGCTTCGTTTTTTGCTGCTTCGACGCCTTTGGATCAGGCACGGCCGGGGTGAGGGCTTCACTAAGGTACGGGTACGCGCCATGCCACGCGTCTGTAGGGTTCTTTAACCGCCATAGCTCTCTCGAAAACCGCTGCGACACTGAAACTGGCGGCGCTGCTTTCCCTCCCCCTGCCCCACCTGCTCCCGCTCCCCCCCCTTTCCTTCCCTTTCCTGCTAACGGCGGCAGACCTCCGCGCTTCCCCACTGCGCCTCCCACTTCTCTCCCCGCGCCCGCCGCCGCCGCTGCCGCGGCCGCCATGGCTTCCTTATGCTCGGTCGAGAACACGAAGTCATCATCTTCGTCAAATTCTTCTAATGCCTTCTGTAGCCGCGTTTTCCCCTCCGGCTTAATATACTCCGGTTCTTGATCCTCCTTAGTTAAGAACTTCTTAGGCGCGCCGGGGTACAGGTATAATACGACGCGCGGCGGAACGACGCCCTTGTTGGCGGAAACTACCGCCTGGAGCTTCCGCTCGAGGCGCTGGTGCGCGGAGAAGGAGAGCACCCCCCCGCGCTCGTGCGCGCGGAAGTCCTCAAGGAGATTTTCCAGGTGGTACCGCGCCTGGGATCGGCCCAGACACTCGTGCGCCGCTAGTGTGCAGATAGTGTCTTTATGGACTAGGAATATCAGCATCACCTGATCCCAGCTCTGCGGGGTTAGAAAGGAGGGGGAAGGGGAGGAGGGAAAGGAGGGATGGGGGGAGAGGAGGGTAGGGGAAGAGGGGGGAGACAAGGTTTGGGCCCACGTGCGACGCTAGCGTGCAGATAATGTCTTTATGGACAAGTGGGATCAGCATCACCTGATCCCAGCTCTGCGGGGAACAGGGAGAGGGGGGGAGGAGGGGAGGGGGGGAGGGGGAAATGAGGAAGGAGGGGAAGGGAGGGAAAGGGAGACAAAATTGGAGGAGGGGAGGGGAAGGAAGGGGAAGAGAGGAGGAGCTGGGTCACTCGTGCGCGGCTAGATAATGTGCTTGTGCAAAAGAAATATTGAGCTCGCCTGATCATGAGACCTTTGATGTACGACACGCTGACGCACTTACTGGACTGTCAAACTAAGTCAGTAAGGGTCAACTGGCATAAGGTAAGTCCAACAGCCTCCAAGTGACCCGCCAGCCCGAAGCTGTAGTCTAGCCCCAAGCTACAACCTACGAGCATCTACCATAAATAATCAGGTTACGGAAACATGGAACGTTTGCAGGTATACGAGTACATATTAACCTACCGAAAAGACATATCAGTGAACCTACCAAGGAGAACCATCGCGCGTGCTTCGGAACCTTCTTCGCAGCTTCAAGGAGGAAATCGTCGAATTCCCCTTTCAGGGGACTGTACGAAATGAGGACATCTGTGCCTCTCGAAATCCCCAGGCCCAGAATAAGCTCCTGTTCATTACGAGTCGACATGAAACCCTAACTCGAGCCTGCTTCGAGATGTCTCAGGACACGACTAGTGCTCGCTTCGACATGAAACCCTAGTTCGAGCATGTACGGACTGAAAGCTGGTGCGCGCGCTAGAGCTTGTTGGGAGCGAGGCAGCATGGAAGCGTCAATGCTGAGCGGTCCGATGCGGTTGAGACTGGTGGAATAAGGGGAAGCCAAGCGGTCTTCTTGGTATTGAACATAGCAGGTGTCGGCGTATCTCGGACATTGCTGAAAGAGTAAGCTTAAATAGAAGAGTGGAAGGTACGCAAGGTTTGAAACCCTGACGCTTGATGAGTAATCTCGAAACAACGAGGTTGGTAAAAGAGGCACTAACTTAGAAAAGGCGACGCGAGGTGAAGCTGCGTTTCACGGAAGAAACACGTTAGTGGCTAGAGTTCAAGTTTATCAGCAACCTTGGCGGCGAGGTCGGTAAAGAAACAAGTCAGCTGCCTTATTAAAACCAAGAAGGTTGCGAAGGTGAAGCATAAAAATACAACAACTGAAACTAATCTGGTTTGTCCAGGCAGCCATGGAGGTAGGCACAACAAAATAGCTGAGAGCTGAAATAGGGTTAGTTGGGGAAGCTGATGATTTCCAACCAACCACCAAACTAATCCCAAAGGTCGCGACAGCAGCGACGAGAACTGAGCGACGCAGTAACTTTCGTTCCCATGCTTTTGCGACGTATTGGCGAGACACTGCCTCGTAGCTGGTTGGTGAGATGAAACATCAAGCCAATTGCGGTGGAGCATCGTGCGAGCTTGCGACTTGGATGTTCGCGCGGCTTACATGACCTGGAAAAACACTTTCGCCTGGTTCCCCCATTTGTCAAAAGTTAAAGCTGCGAAGGCCCGTGATAGTTACCTGACTTCGTCAGGCCATGAAAAACAGCTGAAAAGCGCGGGATCGTCAAAGAATCAGCACAACTGGTCACAAAGACTGGCAATTTCGAGGGCGTGTTACCACCACCTCCAATTCGTCAAAGTTTGCAGCTTCGAGGGTCACTCATTTGCAACTTCGAGGGCCACCTAGAAGTCAAATCTGTCCCTCCTCCCTCACACCATGTCGGCCCTACGACCTGTCCCGTCCCGTCCAGTGTTCAACTCGCTGCGAAATGGAACACGCGATGATGGGATGGAGGACAGGAAGCAGAGTCACCAAACATTCTCCCCTTCACGAAATCTTTCTCTTCACAGGTCCGTGGATGGACGTAGACGAGATCTGCGTTTTGAGTTGACAGTTAGAAGGTGACGAGACTGCTTGTAGACAAGGTTGCAGACTCATAATATGAGCCTAGTAGGCTAAAAATCAGTCAACGTCATTTTTTTCGTCTACGCATCTCTATCACCGATGCTTGCGTACGTAGTATCGGTGCAGAGGTACCATTGGCGTTGGACTCTATCACAGCCAGGATTCGCTAGACGAGAAACCCGCTCTCCAGGATGACGCGACTGTTCCTCGCAATTAGAGCGAGAGTCACGGATGTAGAACGAGAGGCAGGTCAAATCAAATTGCCTGATTTCCTCAAACGATTTCTTCTTCGCGTGACAAGTTATGACGTGACGGGACGCCATCTTGCGTGGAGATCCTCCATGGCGTCCCGTAACGTGGAACGTTGCGACAGGATTCTCCCGGACGACGTGACCTCCGCCACGCGGCTTTGCTTGTCAAAGGAATCCTTGCTGTCGCGCGTTGAGGATTGTCGAAGGAGAAACTCGGCGAATCTGGAATGGGTCTTGAGTACAAATTGACAAACTCTGTCCTCATTTAATTCATATCAGCTCAACTTGCTCTACAACCAAATTGAAAGTTGTGTAAGATCCAGTCAACCGCCATGGCTACCGCTGCATCGTCCAACCTGCATCCGCGCTTCGTCTGGAAGTTTTCGGTGGTTGCTTTTACGCTGATTCTCTCAGGTATGCTTATCCTTTTCAAATCTAATAGTAAGCTTCAGCACTGATCATAGCACTCATTTAGCACTTTATTTTCACCTGTCTGTATCACTCACCACTGATCTCAAGTCGCGTTATCTTCTACCAAGCCGCGTGCGTCTTAGTCTCCTATTCTGCCCCCACCCTTGGATCCTTCCCTAGCAGGGACATCCCTGGCCGTGGCATCTCATGACAAGCGGGGGGGAACAGTTGGGACAACAAGTGGTGACGACGCAGTGTCTAACGCTGCAAGCAACGCCATGGGAACCCAGTCGGTCGTTTTCAGGCATCGCAGCCTGCTCAGCTCCACCCCGCCAGAGCCCCTGCCTGTTGAACCTCCCGCCTCGCAGCAGACTGCTACCAGCCTGTTCAGCTCCACCTCACCACAGCCCTTACCCTTGCCCATTGACCCTCTTGACTCTCTGCCGACTGCCACGAGCTTTGGTGGCGGAGGAGAAATGAGCCCTCCCCCCCCCCCCCACCTTCTCCTCCTTCGGGGGAAGGTTGTAGCTGCTGTTGTGACTGTGGCTGTGGCAATGGCAATGGTGGTGGGGATGGGTCCAACGGCGGGGACAATGGCAATGGTGGTGGGAATGGCAATGGCGGGAATGGCGGTGGTGATGGCGGTGTCATTGGTGGCATCTGGTCGCATGTGGCCTCGTGGCTCCACATTCTTGGCAGTGATGGGGGCAATGGCGGTGGTGGAGGGGACGGGGGCAACGGCAACGGCAACGGTGATGGCAATGGCAATGGCGACGGTAACGGCAATGGTTGTTGCTGCTGCTCCTGCTGCTGCTGTGGCAACAGCAACGGTAATGGCAATGGGAACAGTTGCGGTAACGGCAATGGCAACGGTAACAATATCAACAATGTCTATCTCAATGGCAATGGAAACGCCAACGGAAACGGCAACGGAACGGAAACGGCAATGGGAACGGTAATGGGAACGGTAATGGGAACGGGAATGGCAATGGCTGTTGTTGCTGCTGCTGCTGTGGCAACGGCAACGGCAACGGCAACAGCAACAGCAACGGCAACGGCAATGGCAATGGCAATGGCAACGGTAACAACAACATCAATTTCAGCAGCAACGGCAACGGAAACGGCAACGGAAACGGCAATAGAAATGGAAACGGTGATGGGAATGGGAACGGCAATGGCAATGGCAATGGCTGCTGCTGCTGCTGTGGCAACGGCAATGGCAACGGCAACAGTAACAACAACAACAACAATGTCAACAGCAACGGCAATGGAAACGGCAACGGAAACGGTAACGGCAACGGAGACGGTGATGGGAATGGGAACTGCAATGGCAATGGCTGCTGCTGCTGCTGCTGCTGCTGCTGTGGCAACGACAATGGCAACGGCAACGGTAACAACAACAACAATGTCAACAGCAACGGCAATGGAAACGGCAACGGAAACGGTGATGGGAATGGGAACGGCAATGGCAATGGCTGCTGCTGCTGCTGCTGTGGCAACGATAATGGCAACGGCAACGGCAACGGCAACGGAAACGGAAACGGAAACGGAAACGGAAACGGAAACGGAAACGGAAACGGAAATGGTAATGGCAATGGCAACGGTGATGGGAACGGGAACGGCAATGGCAATGGCTGCTCCTGCTGCTGTGGCAACGGCAACGGTAACAACAACAACAATGTCAACAGCAATGGCGACGGCAACGGCAATGGCAATGGCAATGGCAATGGCTGCTGCTGCTGTAATGGCAATGGCAACGGTGATGGGAACGGCAATGGCAACGGTGGTGACGGTGGGTCTGGCATTCACGGCATCGGCTTCATTCACAGCAAGTTCAGCGCCCACAGCAACAGCAGCAGTGCCAGCCGTGCCAGCCGTGCTAGCAGGGCTATCAGGGCTAGCAGGGTCAGTAATGCACATGTCAACCGCCTCACTTGACCAGGAAAGCTGTACTGATTGCTTGTTGTTGCTTTGTGTTTCCCAGCATCTGATGTTTTCCAGGTGCATATAATGAAGGCTTCATGCACCACAGCAAGTTTTGTAATTCTGTTCTCTTGTGTTCACTTGACACAGCAATCTGCAGGGTGTAACGGTGCAGATTTTGTCTCATGCACTCACTGTGAAAGCCTAAGTTCTATGTGCGGGAAGCATGGAACGGGTGGGGCATATGGGATGACTTGGGTGGGAAGGGAAACAGGGTATGGGTTGGTAACCGGGCATGTGTGGGAAACATGGCATGGGTGGGAAACATGGAATGATGGGGAACATGGCACTGGTGGGAAGCATGGAAAAGGTGGGGCATATGGGATGACTTGGGTGGGAAGGGAAACGGGGTATGGGTTGGTAACCGGGTATGGGTGGGAAACATGGCATGGGTGGGAAACATGGAATGATGGGGAACATGGCAGTGGTGGGAAGCATGATGTGGGTGGGAAGCATGGTATGGGTGATAAAGATGTGTCCTCCAGCCATGGGTGTTCGTTTGTTTCTGTTGCTACAGCAGCTGTTGCCAGTGTGGTTACCGCAGCTGCAACGCCAATGGCAACGGCTGTGGGAGCATCTGTGGTTCGTGCTGCCGCGTCAACGCCGCAGCTAAGGCTGTTGGAAGGCCGGTGGCTGCTGCTGCTGGTGACAAACTTGAAAACAAGCAGAACTGTCAGAATACTGAACGAGAATGATTGAATTGAACAGAAAGTTGGGTACAGGTACTAACCATAATTGGGTTGTACCCCTGATTGGCTACCCCACTACAGCCCACACAATGTAAGCACTATAGCAGTCTGACACACTCCCATAGGCAAAGTGGGGGAGAACAAGTGGT